CGGAATTGCGTCCGGCTAGGGGCCGAACTCAAGACAACCCCCGTCGTCGACGTCCGTGGGAGCCTTCTCTCCCATGTGTCCGGCCCCTGAAGTTTGACCTCTTGGCGCCACCTTTACGATCTCCCCCCCTCCTTGGCCTGGGTCTTTCTGGGACGAAACCTCGGTGTCATTCACATGTTTGGGGGAAGGAGCCTGTGGGGGTGTCCCGCTCTCCATAGCATCCGAGCCCAGTAAATCCTCCGACGAGGATTGTTCGGTGCGGGACCTCGCCGGACTGTAAAAAAGTATGGCTCAGATTAAAATATTATGCCATGATGAGTCTGGACGCATAGACGTATTTGAATTCTATATACTTACGAGTTCACCAGGGGCTGGGCCCTGGGATCCCACTCCGGGCTGCTGTCGGCAGCAGAAGTGGGCTCCTCTGGAAGGGGGATTTTCCCCTTCTTAGGTGACTCGGCCTCCAAAGATGTGGAGGCCGTCCTTTTCTTTCCTCCCCTCGCTGGGGATGGGTCTTCCTCCTCTTCCTTGTCCTCTCCGGAGGAAGATCGGGCATCGGAGTCTTCGGATATTGTGTCTGAAGTGCCACGGCGACGAAGGCCGCCCCTGGTCTTTTTGGCCTCCTTCTCGGTCTCCTTCTTTGGCACCTTGTAAGGCGCCGAGACCAGCATCTTCATCAGAAGTGGGCCGGCCGGTTCTTCCGACAGAGGGTCCGGACAGTAGATCCGCCCCACCTTCTTCGTCCAGCCCTAGGAGAGTTGTGGAAAGCACATTAAGCATTTTCCTCGGGATATGCGAATGAAACATATGAATTGCCAACATACAATGACTTACCGAACTTGCATGGCAGGACAGTTGGTACCCGCAGTCCTTGGTGGAGTCCGCCACGATTTGCCAGACTTAAAGAGCACCTTCCAAATATCCTTGTGCGAGGAACCGAAGAGCTCTAGCAGGGTCTGGTGCTTCGCCAGGTCGAATTCCCATAAATTGCAAGCCCTGTGTTGACAAGGAAGAATCCGGCGAACTAGCATCACCTGGACTACATTGACAAGTTTGATATTCTTGTCTTCCATACCCTTGACGCACATCTGGAGCACCGACAACTCGTCGGGCAAAGACCAGTTCGGGCCCTTCTTGGGCCAGGACGTAAGCTGCAGGGGGCTCCGGATTGGAATTCGGGAGCAGCGGCCCATTCCGTGCCGCGCGGCTCAGTGATGTAAAACCACTGCTGCTGCCACTCTTTGACGGAATCATTGAAAGTACCTGTTGGCCATGTGACGTTGGACATCTTTCTCACCATGGCGCCTCCGCACTCGGCGTGCTCGCCGCTCACTACCTTGGGCTTCACATTAAAGATCTTTAGCCATAAGCCGAAGTGTGGAGAGATGCGGAGGAAGGCCTCGCACACGACGATGAATGTCGAGATGTTGAGGAAGGAATTGGGGGATTGATCATGAAAATTGATCCCATAATAATACATGATGCCGCGAACGAATGGGTGGAGGGGAAACCCTAGCCCGCGGACAAAATGAGGGAGGAATACAACCCTCTCGCGGGGTTCCAGAGTAGGGACGATCTGTCCCATCGTCGGAAGACAATGGATGATTTTCTTGGCCAAATACCCGGCCTCCCGAAGCCTTTTGATATCCTTCTCCCGGATGGTAGAGGCCATCCACTTGCCTCCTGCTCTGGATCTGGACATTTTTGGGAGACCTTTTTGGGCGGAGAAGACGAACGCTTGGGCGCTGGAGCTCGAGCAGAGGGGAATGGATGAGCAGAGAAAGAAGAAGGCGTGGGAGAAAAAGGGGAGTCCTTATCTCCTTATAAAGGCAGCAGGGATCCTGCGCCTTCCCACTTGCCCGGTAAACTCGCTTATTACCAAGCGCCGCGTTGATGGCGCGGTTGGGTTACCCACGCCCGTATTGATGAGAATTCTGAGATAAGGGGACACGATCTCTGCTTCGACAAGACGTGCCAATAAAACCGCCTTGCGATATGTGCGGTAGCAGGTTGGAAAACGGTTCGAATAATGACCAGGCCAAGGCGTGATGTCACGCTGTGAAAAGTTGTCGGCAGATTAGATTTGTGGAATATTATGCTCTCTACGGTGGTATGTGGAAATTGTTTTGCAGAGTCGGACACAATCCTTGTGTTCAAGATCTTCTATGGAGTATTCGGAGAAGGAACCTGCCTTGCAATGCCGAAGACAATCTGCGCGCCGGACTCATCATCATTGAAGCCTGGTTCAGGGGCTACTGAGGGAGTCCTGGATTAGGGGGTCCTCGGACAGCCGGACTATATACTTTGGCCAGACTGTTGGACTATGAAGATACAAGATTGAAGACTTCGTCCCGTGTCCGGGTGGGACTCTCCTTTGCATGGAAGGCAAGCTTTGCAATTCGGATATGTAGATCTCCTTCTCTGTAACCGACTTTGTGTAACCCTAGCCCCCTCCGGTGTCTATATAAACCGGAGGGTGTAGTACGTAGGACAAGAACAACAATCATACCATAGGCCAGCTTCTAGGGTTTAGCCTCTACGATCTCGTGGTAGATCAACTCTTGTAATGCTAATATCATCAAGATCAATCAAGCAGGAAGTAGGGTATTACCTCCATCGAGAGGGCCCGAACCTGGGTAACATTGTGTCCCCCGCCTCCTGTTACCATTAGCCTTAGACGCACAGTTCGGGACACCCTACCCAAGATCTGCCGGTTTTGACACCGACACCCGTCCTTTTGGGGTAAAATGGACAAACCAGATGGCCCAGCACGCGACGGCCTGGACCAATCTGGTCCGTTTTTTGTCCGGACCGACCCATTTCGAGCGCAAATATGCGCGCGGTTTGGGTCGCGGCGGATGGCAAACGGACGCCTCGCTCTTTCGCGTCGGGGCCGCATGGCAGGCGGTCACCTACCTCCCATCGCCCGACATAAATGCACATGGGTGGTCGACCCCACCTGTCATCCGCCCACGCGAATGGTCGCAGTTCTTCTTAAATGGGGAAGCCGTGGACCGGTCGTCATCCACACTCCCCAGTCCAGCCCTTCCCGCCTCCTCCAAACCAACACCCCAAACCCTAGCAGCCGGCCGGCTACCTCGCAGCCATGGGCTTCTGGAACCACGACCGCAAGGGGAAGCATGGCCGCGAGGCTAGCTCGTCCTCGGGCCGCCGCCGCGGGTCCATGAAGGAGGAGCCCGCATCACCACCGCGTCGGGCCCCCGCGCCTGCCCCATTCACCATCAGCCCTACGACCGGCGGCGAGCGCGACCGGCAGTACATCGCCGCAGATGTATGCCAGCATTATTGGGAGACGAGGACACCGCTCCTGTGGAGCGACGTGCACCTCGCAAATAATTGGCACCTCTTCGCCGACCGAGTCCCGATCCCGCCGGTCCCGATGAGCGGTCGTGCGCGCCGCGAGGAGATCGAGCGCCGCCACCGCCTCCTGCGGGATGACCTATACTACGACGACAGGTACGCCCCCGACTCCGTGCTCTGGAACACGTGGCTCCAGGACGAGCACGACGTGCGGCACGCGTCATTCTTCGTCGACACCTCGTCGGGGCCGCGGCGGCCACGTGGAGAGCGCGCAGCGCGTGCTCCCCAGGTGCGCGGTCTCACGCCCACGCCGTCGCCTTCACCGTCTTCGTCTCCACCACCACCACCTGCATGACAGCGGAGGAGGAGGCCCGGCTCATACAGCATGTCATGGAGGACTCCATGCGCACACACAATGAGCGCCAATGGGAGGGCCTCAAGGATATGATGACCCTCTGTGCGGCCGGCGACGTCGCCATCCCCGAGGTGGAGATGGTGTAGGCGGAGGAGGTGACGGAGGAGGAGCCGGTGGCGCGCGTTCCACCCGGGCCTGGTGAGCCAGCAATGGAGCTGGTCGTGCACGGCTCCAGAGATGGCCGACGCCGTGGGGGGTGTGAACTGGTGCCCCACGCCGCCGCGGTCACCGGACGGGAGGCCTCGCCACAGGAGGAGGTGGTGTAGGCACCTCCGGCCTTCCAGCCCGCCCGTGTGTACCACGCGCCGCCGTCCCATCTCTGGACACCGCCGGACTACGACGACCTCGTCAGCTACGACGACGACAACAGCGACCAATGAAGACGGCGACGACCACGACATCTACGGGCATGGCAGGAGCGCGCGGGCGGTTTTTGTTTTGTTTTTTATGTTAATTACGGCAGTGTGAACCGTGAAACTGGGCTGTTTTGTGGCCGTGATGGTTAATTTATGTTTTATGTTTTTATATTTGTGTTTTTTTGGCATTTTATTTTATTTTTTCTGTTTTTTTAATCATGTCCACTCCGAACATGATTTGGGGTGCGGCCGCGCGTTGGGCGCACCGAAAACTCAACGGACAGAAACGGTCACGAATGAATCCATTGGCGCCCCAAAAGAACGAAATCCGGTCAAACCGAACGTCCGTTTGGAGTCGTGCGCCCTAGTTGGCCTTACACTCCCCCGGTCCTGACGACTAGAAATGGTCGAGTCGATCGTTCCTTATAAGGCATGATTATTAGAGATGCTTTGACAAGGTTTATATGCATACCCGGCAATGCTCACATGCTACAGAAGAGACCAAATTTGACCCCGGAGGCCGCTTGAGGGACCATTACTTTCCTCCCGGCACCGATAAGATTTGGGATCGAGTGCAGTTGTGGCATGGGCGGCGGCGTCTCTCAAGGAGCGGCGGCGATCGGCATGGGTGCCGTCTCTCAAGGACAGGGGCGCAGTGAGGTGCGGGTGCTATGGGTGGCCCACTTCCGACCGCACACACGTACATCTACAGAATGACTAATGGGACTGGCTAACGTGCCCCCGGTCTGATCGCTAGCAATTAACCGGCAGTCACGTGCTACACGCCTCTACAAATGCTGTTGCACGGTCGCCTCTGGCATGCAGAACCTGTAAAAAAGTTGAAGCACTAGCAGTCCAGCACGCAATCAGACGGTGCGCGGCTCGGGGAGAGGCGGGACTGCTGTACTATGGCTCCGGCGGCAATGGAGGTCGCCCCAGCGCCCGTGGCCGTCGTGGCAGTGCCGTTCCCGGCGCAGGGGCACCTCAACCAGATGCTGCACCTGTCGCTCCTGCTCGCGTCCCGGGGCCTGGACGTGCACTACGCGGCGCCCGCGCCGCACGTCCGCCAGGCGCGCGCGCGCGTGCAGGGCTGGGACGCGCGCGCCGTCCGCTCGCTCCGCTTTGCCACCCTCGACATCCCGCCCTACGCCACGCCGCCGCCCGACCCCGACGGCCCCATGGCGTTCCCGGGCCACCTGCAGCCGCTCTTCGACGCGTTCTGCGACCACGCCGCGGCCCCGCTCGGGCGCCTCCTCGAGGAGCTCGCCGCCTCGCACCGCCGCGTCGTCGTCGTGCACGACAACCTCATGGCCTTCCCCGCGACGGAGGCGTCGCGGCTGCGCAACGGCGAGGCGTACGCGCTCCAGTGCGTGGGGCAGTCGTTCGGCACCGGGTTCAAGGACCCCAGCCACCGCCTGGTGCGCGCGCTTGGCCTGCCCGTCCCGTCACCTGAGTCCTTCCTCACCCAGGAGTTCATGGCGCTGGTGGAGCGGCAGGGCGGGCTCGGCGTGCCGAGCGCCGGGCTGCTCCTCAACTCGTGCCGCGCGCTCGAGGGAGAGTTCATCGACGCGCAAGCCGAGACCCTGTCCCTCGACGGCAAAAGGCTGTTCTCCATCGGCCCATTAAACCCACTGCTGGAATTGGACGCGACCACGCCCACCCCGTCGGTGCAGCCGCGCCACGAGTGCATGGACTGGCTTGACAAGCAGCCGACATCATCGGTGCTGTTCCTATGCTTCGGCACAATGACGTCTTTGCCTGGCAAACAGATCGGGGAGCTGGCCGGCGCGCTGCAGAGCTGCGAGCAGCGGTTCATCTGGGTGCTGCGCGACGCCGACCGCGCCGACATCTTCGCGGAGGCCGGCGAGAGCCGGCACGCCAAGCTGATGTCCGAGTTCACAAGGCGGACCGAAGGGAGGGGGCTGGTGATCACCGGGTGGGCGCCGCAGCTGGAGATCCTGGCGCACGGCGCCACGGCGGCGTTCGTGAGCCACTGCGGCTGGAACTCACTGCTGGAAGGGCTGAGCCACGGGGAACCGATTCTCGCGTGGCCCATGCACTCCGACCAGCCGTGGAACGCGGGGTACGTGTGCGGCCACCTCAAGGCCGGGATCGTCATGAGGCCGTGGGAGAAGAGCAGGGAGACGCTGCCGGCCAAGGACATTCAAGAGGTCATCAAGAGGGCGATGGACTCCGACGAAGGCATCGCCGCGCGGAGTGCGGCGAAGGCGCTCGCCGAGGACGTTCGTGCCGCCGTGGCGAACAGTGGCTCGTCGTGCGCGGACATGGAGGAGTTCATCGCTCGCATCACAAAGTGAAGGACTGATTGGCGTCAATAAACTCTGGAATGACCAGTGCATGCTCGATCTTGCAGCGTCAATCAGAGCAGTACACACGTGTGTGATTTGAGGTGTCTCTAGTGTCACGTTCGTAGATTTGTTTCCTGTCTTTTTCGTTCGCTCCGTTCGGAACTTCGGATTCACGAACAGCACTCTGAAGTCCATCCGTGGTCCTAGCATGCAGTCTGAAAGAATAAATTATGCCTACTCTACGGTTTGTCTAATTCACATCTAGATGTTTTTTTAAGGGTGTCACATTTAAACTCCCATAAATACATAATGCATTAACTAGAAACAAAAAAACTAAAACAAAAAAATAGACCACAAACAGAGTGGACATCAGCTTAGATGCGACATAACTATGTCACATCTAGATGTGCCCTAGACAGAATCTGTAAAATCGCACAAATAAATTATGTATGGAGCATATGCATGCAAACTTTGGTTTAAAAGATTTGACCATCTTCGATTCGAAAAATATGTGTACAACTCGAAATATTCAAATCTGCAAACATATCCGCACGTAGTAAATCTTAACCCCGTGGCCTCTTTTTTTGCAGGAACGCCACGACACTTGAACCGGAGAGTCCCTTGTAATGTGATTTGTGGCCTACTCGTCAAATGTTGCACGTTCCATCACGCCATTTCCTCTGTAAGTTTATCTACTGGTTATTCTTTTGTGTTGTTCTTCGCATGATGTGAGACTCATCAGAAGTAGAGACTAGCTGAAGAGCACACGCTTTTACGTGTAGACCGCTGACACTAGCTTTGGCCTAATAATGATTTGACCAAACAAACTTCACATCCAATTCATGTTGCTCTAGTATGCATGTTTCATTTTTTCTTCATGGTATGTCCTCTTCTATAAAGATCCAGTCGCCCCTGGTGTGGCAAAAACTTCCTCTGCACTTTGATGCATTCGATACTCATGAGCGGCAAGAGGGCAATTGGACATTTCTTTCCCAAGATGAAACTTTTGCACCACTAGCCAATACTCCCATCACTTACTACTGCTCATGGTATGGGCCACCATCCATAATCTAAAATCCTCAAAAGCGATAGAAGCAACCGCGACAAAAGAAGCCGACTTAGCCTCAAAGACTCCCGCGTTACGCTCAGCCACAATTTTCTTATCCCTACAATGACAAGATGTCTCTTCCATACAATTCCTCAGAATCTGTTACGTCTTCAAGATATCTATATTTTTTGATTGTTCCATACTATTATATTATCTGTTTTAGATGTTTTATATGCATTAATATGCTATTTTATATTATTTTTGGGACTAACCTATTAACCTAGAGTCCAGTGTCAGTTCATGTTTTTTTTCTTCTTATTTTTGAGTTTCGCAGAAAAGGAATACCAAACAGAGTCCAAACGGAATGAAACCTTCGCGATGATTTTTCTTGCACCAAAAGACAACTAGGAGACTTGGAGATGAAGTCGTAGGAGCCACGAGGCGTCCACAAGGACGGAGGGCGCGCCTCCCATCCTTGTGGGCCCCTCGTGCAGCTCCTGACCTAATTCTTTCACCTATATATTCCCATATATCCCCAAACCAACAGGGGCATCCGCGAAAACACTTTTTCGTCGCTGCAACCTTCTGTACCCGTGAGATCCCATCTAGGGGCCTTTTCCGGCGTCCTGCTGGAGGGGGATTCGACCACGGAGAGCTTCTACATCAACTCTATTGCCCTTCCGATGAAGCGTGAGTAGTTTACCACAGACCTACGGGTCCATGGCTAGTAGCTAGATGGCTTCTTCTCTCTCTTTGATTCTCAATACCATGTTATCCTCGATGTTCTTGGAGATCTATTCGATGTAATACTTTTTTGCGGTGTGTTTGCCGAGATCCGATGAATTCTGGATTTATGGTCAGCTTATCTATGAATATTATTTGAATCTTCTCTGAATTCTCATATGCATGATTTGATCTTTATAATTCTCTTCGAACTATCGGTTTGGTTTCGCCAACTAGATTGGTTTTCTTGCAATGGGAGAAGTGCTTAGCTTTGGATTCAATCTTGCGATGTCCTTTCCCAGTGACAGTAGGGGCAGCAAGGCACATATCGTATTGTTGCCATCGAGGATAAAAAGATGGGTTTTTCATCATATTGCTTGAGTTAATTCCACTACATCATGTCATCTTACTTAATGCATTACTCTGTTCTTTATGAACTTAATACTCTAGATGCATGTTGGATAGCGGTCGATGTGTGGAGTAATAGTAGTAGATGCAGAATTGTTTTGGTCTACTTGACACGGACGTGATGCCTATATTCATGATCATTGCCTTAGGTATTGTCATAACTTTGCACTTTTCAATCAATAGTTCGGCAGTAATTTGTTCGCCCACCGTGTTATTTCTATCTTGAGAGAAGCCTCTAGTGAAACCTATGGCCCCCAGGGTCTATTTTCCATCATACAAGTTTTCGATCTACAATTTTAGTTTCCGATCTATTATTCTTGCAATCTTTTACTTTCCGATCTATAAACCAAAAAGACCAAAAATATTTACTTGTTTATCTATCTCTATTAGATCTCACTTTTGCAAGTAACCGTGATGGGATTGACAACCCCTTTATCGTGTTGGATGCAAGTTTGTTTGATTATTTGTGCAGGTATTCTATGATTTGTGCATTGTCTCCTACTGGATTGATACCATGGTTCTCAAACTGAGGGAAATACTTATCTTTATTTTGTTGCATCACCCTTTCCTCTTCAAGGAAAAAACCAACGCAAGCTCAAGAAGTAGTAGGAAGAATTTCTGGCGCCGTTGCCGGCGAGATCTACGCCAAGTCAAGACATACCAAGTACCCATCATAAAATCTCATCTCTTGCATTACATTATTCGCCATTCGCCTCTCGTTTTCCTCTCCACCACCTCTAAAACAACTTTCAAAAATATTTTCCTTTTTATTCGCCTTCTTTCCGAATGTCTTTTTGCTCGTTTGCTATCTTTGCTTGTGTTTCCATTTGCCCTCCTTTTGCTTTCATCTTCGCTTGCTAAAAGTTTATGGAGCCTCATCCACTTGCTAATATTTTTAAGAGATCCAATTATGATGAACCAATTGCTAGTGAACTGAGTGCACTAAATTATCTTTATGAGGTTTTGCTTGAAATTCATGAATCTAAAAAGTGTGATGAAGTGTTAAAAGAAGAAAAATTAAAAAGTGATTCACAATAGTGCCTTGGATGAAAAGCATGATTGCAATGATGTTATTATAAATTCTATTAATGTCAATTGTGTTAATGATATGCAAAACCCTAAGCTTGGAGATGCTAGTTTTGATATGTCTACTATTTGTTGCAATGATATGATTGAGTGATTCTTCTTATGATCTTGAAAACTTATTTAAGCCCCATGATGAATATGAGATTGATAATAATGTTCGCAATAATGTTCGCAATAATAATGAAAGTGGGTTTGGACGAGTGTCAACTTTAGATCCCACATATTTGGAGAATGTCCAACCTTATGAAATTTTTGATAAAATTGGATTTGGAGAGGTCATGACTTTAGCTAATGTTAAGCCCACTATTTTGGAAGAGTGTCAACTTCACATGCATGCGGATCGTGTTGAAAATATGTTATGTGATAGCTATACTGTTGAATTTGCTTATGATCCCACATGTAATTATTATGAGAGAGGAAAATATGGTTGTTGAAATTTTCATGTTACTAAATTACCTCTCTTCATGTTGAGATTGCTATCGTCTCTTTCTTCTTCCTTGCATATGCTAGTTTTTGCTTGCCTTGATAATTTGTTTGCTTATAAAATGCCTATGCATAGGAAGTATGTTAGACTTATATGTGTTTGTCGCGTGCTATATGATGCTCTCTTTGTTCTTCAATTCTTGTCTTTCATGTGAGCATCATTGAAATCTCAATGCCTAGCTAAGGGCGTTAAACAATAGCACTTGTTGGGAGGCAACCCAATTATATTTTTGTTCCTTGCCTTTTACTCCTGTTTTGCTTTGAATAATTCATCTAGCCTCTGGTTAGATGTGGTTTTGTATTTTAATTAGTGTTTGTGCCAAGCAAGACCTTTGGGATAGCTTACGGTGATAGTTGTATTGATCTTGCTGAGAAACAAAAACTTTTGCGCCCAGGGAAATAATTTTCATAATTCACAGAAGCGTGAATTTGATTTGATTCTTTTTACTCTGGATTGGTAGACAAATTTCCCAGGTTGTCCTAATTTTTCTGAATTTTTGGAGTTAGAGAAGTATTCGAAGTTTCCATATTGCTACAGACTGTTTTGTTTTTGACAAATTCTGTTTTCTTTGTATTGTTTGATTATTTTGATGAATCTATGGGTAGTATCGGGGGGTATGAACCATGGAAAGTTGGAATATAGTAGATATTACACCAATATAAATAAAGAATGAGTTCACAACAGTACCATAAAGTGGTGATTTATTTTCTTATACTAACGGAGCTTATGAGATTTTTCTGTTGAGTTTTGTGTTGTGAAGTTTTCAAGTTTTGGGTAAGGATTTGAGGGACTATGGAATAAGGAGTGGCAAGAGACTAAGCTTGGGGATGCCCAAGGCACCCCAAGGTAATATTCAAGGACAACCAAGAACCAAAACTTGGGGATGCCCCGGAAGGCATTCCCTCTTTCGTCTTTGTCTATCGGTAACTTTACTTGAGGCTATATTTTTATTCACCACATGATATGTGTTTTGCTTGGAGCATCTTGTATGATTTGAGTCTTTGCTCTTTAGTTTGCGACAATCATCCTTTCTGTACACACCTTTTGAGAGGGACACACATGAATCGTGATTTATTAGAATACTCTATGTTCTTCACTTATATCTTTTGAGCTAGGCAATATTGCTCTAGTACTTCACTTATATCTTTTTGGAGCACGACGGTGGTTTTATTTTATAGAAATTGATGAACTTTCATGCTTCGCTTGTATTATTTTGAGAGTCTCTAAACAACATGGTAATTTGCTTTGGTTATAAATTTA